GAGGGGGCGCCTTTGCAGAAATTCAGAGAAATATGAGCAAACGCCTTCCTCGAAACTAAGGCCGCGAGGCATGGACGTGTTTCAGGCTCCCTCTTCTTCCTCTTCTTCCTCTTCCCTCTCCGACAGCCGCCGGAAGGCAGAGCTTCTGTTCAACCTTAAATGTCGGACAGGATAAACCTCGTCTTCAGATTGGTGAACTCGACGGACACCACTAATGCTCAGTGCAATGCAACTCGTCTATCATATGGATTCTTGCAAGACGTATCGCAATGTGGATGCTTTAGAGGCAGATTAATTATTAGTATCCGGGGTCTATCATACCATCTGGTACTGCGCCCTTCTCGATCCTGTATACATTTATGAGTAGCCGTAGCCCGAGCCCGAGCCCGTGCGGCTCCTGGTATACCCAACCCTTGTCACCGCGGGACCTATACTTGTATATTTGTCTAGGTCGTGATATGGTAGCACTTGTACACGGGATAGCCCGCCCGTCCACGCCGTGTCGAATAGTAAATCGGCATAGAACAGGACACGCCATCACAAGAAGCTGAACGATTTCTAAGCAGCGAGCGAAGATTGCCGATTCGGCTTTCGACTCATGATCCGGGTGATGGCGTGCCGAATCGTCACCCCCGCTTTCTCGATCTCCTTCTTGGACAAGCCCGACGAGATGCAAACCTTGAGCGCAGGTTTGATATCTACGTCTTTGGTTCCCACACTGCCAACCAGCGGCGTGCTTCTAAGCCGCGTGATGAGCACTCCGTTGACAAGAGTCTGTGCCTCAGTCAGCCGCCAAACTCTCCTCACAGCAAAATACTGCCATGGGAACTTACCTCATCTGTGATCTCGAGGAGCAGCCGCTCTTGGTCCTCGTTACTCAGCCGCCTTGATTGGACCACCTCGGGCTTGAAAACCAGAAGCATGACCGGGTTTTCTGGATCGCTCGTGCATTGGACCCAGTCGCTTCGTGGGTCGAGTTGTCCCCTCATGGCCCGGATATTCTCTCGGCACTGGAATAGAATATCAGGATTGCATTGCAACATGTTCAACGTCTCGCTGGCGGTCACGGCAGCCATGGCCGGCAGAGCTGCCGAATACGTGTACGATGCGGCATTGATGCGCTGGTGGCGCACGACGTCCTTTGAACCTGCGCAAAATCCGCCCGCAGCACAGAGCGGTCCAGCCAAAGACCCAATGATCATATCTACCGCCTCTGAGTCCACGTTCTGCGCCTCCGTCAGTCCTCGCCCGTTGCGACCGAGCACGCCAAACGACCATGTTTCGTCAAGGGCAATCCGGAACCTGTACTTCTCCTTTAATTCCACCTTTCCAAATGCCTCAAGTCAGCCAGGGGGTGCGACAGGCGAGAGAGCCTTGTAGAGAAGGACCGCTTACCAGCTTGGGAAGGTCGGAACAGTCGCCGACCATCTCGAAGATGCCCTCTGTCACAATGAACCGCCTAGTCAAGATCTTCTTCTTGGACTGCTCCTCGACCACCTTTTTCATAACTCGCTCCAGGTCTTCCATATCATTATGTTCGTACCATTTAATGTTGCTCCGGGAAGCTTCCAACCCTTTGCGAATCGAATAGTTGACCATCTTATCAGCGACGATGACATCCCCGCGCTTGCAAAAGGTGGGAATGACGCTAGAGATGGTTGAAAAGGCATGGGAATACACGATGCTACCCTGGGTCCCGAGAAAAGTTGCGATATCCTGCTCAGTGGTCATGTGTACGTCCTGGGTGCCGTAAAACTGCGGAGGGCCACAGGGACCAACTCCGTAGGTGCGCAGCGTCTGGATTGCCTTTTCCTTAATCGAGTCGCTTGCGTTCAGGTTGTAGAAGTTGTAGGAGGCCAGATTCATGACGGTCTTGCCGTTGGATAGCTTCACTTTTGGACCACTCGGCCTATACACAGGACATAAGCAATTGAGTTCGCACAGGCAGACAAAGGGGTAGGTCTTTCTTACCCAACAATAATAGGCTGCTTCTCAGCTTCGGCTTCTTCAAATGCGGTCTGGGGAGCCACGAGCGGTTCAGGCTCCCACTCCCTGACGAGCTCGTCAATCTCATCCTCACGAAGCTTCACGTAATTGGGATCGTGGGTAGGATAGGATGGCGAGAGGAGGTATCGAACGAAAAATATAACAAGCACGAGCTCTATCATGGAACGGATTGGGTCATTCTGGTAGCTGGATTGGATGTATCGGATCAAGACGGCGCTTCCGGGGACTTTCTGAAAGGCGTGGGAGACTTCGTGAAGCGAAGCCTGCAAGTACACCTGGGCCTCGTGAAGATCCATGTTGAATTATTGTAATTCTTCTTGGATAGTCATTCGATGGAATATGAGGTAATCCGTGACTACTGTTCAATTCGTAGGAAGAGAATTTGGACGTGGCATAGTATGGAGTTGGTGGATGATGTTCTAGGGGGAAGATTGGCAGATGGATGCCAAAATCCAATTTCCAATTAGGAAAAGGGTCCTGACGGTCCTTGACCAACCTCAATCACCGATCTCCGGTGGCACGGGTTTTAAGATTTCCATTGGCGTCGCGTTAAATCGAAGCATTGAGCACCTCGCCCCACTTTCTGCAAGTATGTATGTACATTACAACCTCAGGTACTTACATGTATTACTGAAATGTACCTATAAACTGTGAGTAATGTATAGGCAAAGAAAACCCTTTTGCTTCTGCCGTCTATCATCCTTCGAGTGCTCTCACAAATGCTACACTCTCATTCCCTTCTACTGTTTTAGAAATCGGACTTAAATAAGCCTGCTGGTCGTCTCCAAGTTGTCGAATGTATGATTCGGCCACTTTGATCCACGAGGTCTTCTCTGCTCTGCTGGCACCTTGACCTTGCCAAACCCAGATAGTGCTGCCCGTGTCAAGGAGGAAAACATCATTGCTGTCCAGATCCGAGCCTCCGATTCCAGCGCCTTCTTTCATCAAGTCAAAGCTCAACTGGCCAGAGGTATCTGACAGTCGGAATAGCCTGCGCGGCCGAAGTCCTGCGTCCTGACTCTTAGACGAGATGATCGGTCGAGGCGCGATCAGCCGCCCCTCGACGTTCTCACCACCTAGCATGGTGACAAAAGTCCGTGATCTCGACTCTGTTTGAGACAGCACCTCGACATCGATGTGCTTTGCCATTGTCATGTCATGGACGACCTGTGCTGCTCTAGCTTTTTCCATGGGGCTACAATTCTTGCCCTGCCACACCCAGATTTTGTTGCGACGCTCCAATACGAAGACGTCGTTTTCGTCGAGGCTCCCCCACGTTGGTTCAACTTCGTAGACCATGATCGAATCAGCCCGTTTAGCAGACGGGTGCTTGAAGACTCTGAGCAATATAGGAATCTCTTCCGGCTCCCTTTCCATCTCGACGTGCGTGAAACCAGAGCAGACCCCGCCGGAAAGAATCCAGATGCGAGAGAACAGGGCCACGAAGTCATCGGAAGGCTCTTTCTGGAGCTCGCGGTGCTGCGTGGCCACGCCATGTAAGAATTCGTCGAGCTCGACTGTTTTGTAAGCGGCGGTGCCCGCCTCGTCCTGCGATGTCTTATTCCCAAGCCAGAAGAAGATGTCGTAGGCTGGCTTCCCCTCCCCACCGCTGCTCCCGGCCTTGTATGAGTGCAATATGACATAACTATCCCCCTCGTGGAAGTCGCCGTATCGATCCTTTGGCCAAGGGATAACTTCGAAATTCTCTATCCGCCATATGCAAAGACCGGGAACTCCTCCTACCTCTCGCCACGTAGGTTCGGTGACTTGCTGAATTGTACTTGACTTTATGGTCAAATTCCGTTCCAATATTTTCAACGTTGCCATCTCTCCAGTCGTACTCTGTCATATGGATGAGTCCTTTGCGCGGTGCCATCTCGATGGTAAGACTGCTGGTAGTATTAGGATATCTAATGGTGTGCAGCTGTGTAGATGTCTAGACTGCCTTACATTAGGATTAGGTAAATAGTTGAGCATTCGTGAAAATAAATAGTAATACAATATTCTGTGAAAGACCGAACGTCGAATAATTTGGCAAATTTACCTAGGTAACCTAGGTACGTTGTAAGAATTCATGGGTGTGAACTGGCACTCTTCGAAACTCGGAAAAGGCCGCTGTTTAACAGTTGACGTCATGAGCTAAAGTACAGTACATTGAGCAGCTGAGACCGTTTTTCACATCTGCCACAAACATGTGATGGTTGATACTGTACTTCGTGTTCTGGATTTAAATTCTCAAACCCAGACCGACAATTACGTACATGTACCTATCACCATACCACTAAAAATTTTCATTCATCAAACTTCATGTTTCTCCCTCACACCCGCCGACAACCCTGACTCCAAAATCCATATCCTGTCATCACTTGGTGCAAATTCATCACGATTAATAACGGCCGACAAGGGAAACCCAAACCCAAACCCAAAGAAGCATGTCTAAGCAAGCGAGCATATCCCAGGACTTCACCACCTACTACCTCCAGCGAAGCACCCTGGAATTCGCCGAAGACCTGGACAGGATCCGCAGCGCCGACGACTTTAAAGGAGACGCAGTAGCGATGCTTGTCAAATCCCTGCAGCAAGGCACATCCCTTTTCTCTGCTGTCGACCAGAAGAGGATACTGAAGGTGCAAACCCCTAGGGATATGGACAACGAGTAGGAAGAGACGAAGAAGAGTTCTCTCGCCGCGGGGTTGAATTGCAGACTGCCTACCTACATATATGCTAGCATGGCTGATTATGGAAGACTATTGCTTAACGGAAACTGTCATGAGAAGGCAATGAATGATAAGCCCTTTCAACTGTTCAGCCAGTTGGCGTACTTCTGTCTGCCAGGGGTGTAACGGTGCTCGATATTGTATAGTCAAAGGGGGGCAGATGAACCCAACCATACGCACTCCTTCCTAAATTGCACGATTGGTATTAACCAATCACTTAGCAAAAAATAACATCAATACTTAAGACATATAGGGTAAATGAGAAGATGGGCAAAACGACACGAGCAGGATTCGAACCTGCGCTTCCGAGGAAATGAGATGTATTAACAATTCAAGTCTCACGCGTTAGACCACTCCGCCATCGTGCCTCTCATTCGCTGGAATATGTTTCTTTAGCACACATTATAGCACCCCAAGCATGGTACTAAGTCATAGTAGCCCCAAACTTCAACCTACACCCGAAGTATGTCCCATTGGCCCAGATGTGGAGGTGCAACGAATACGTGGGACACACAACATGCGACAATATGATACACGTATGCTGTAGAGAATCATAGGTCTGGATATTAATCCAAGTAGTCTGGAATCCACTGGCTTCGACTTAAGGCTTACTGTCATTTCAAAGTACAAGAGTGCCAAAAGCTCAGGTTAATTTAAAGACCAGGCTTCAAAACAGCTTGTTATACGGATGATATGGTACGTGAATGTTCCCGTGTGCAACTGCCGATATTAGCTGTCTCTGAAAGTATATATGTGTATAGTATTGATATTTGCGAAGGAGCAATCACAAGCCTAGGTACCTAGGTAGGTAGACAACTTAGACAACACCTGGCAGCCGTTGGGCTGCCAGGTTGTGGAAGCCCCCGAAGCACGCACATCACTCTCCTTACGTTTGTATCAGCGGAATAAGCCTGATTCATACATAGGTACATGTACATACATTATCTGCACGTGGGTAGGTACCTATGTTTTAAGCGGGTACCAAAGCTACTGTTGGTATACTAAGGCCATTCATCCGATGTTTAAAATAGCAACTCACTCACTCATTAAATGCCCAATTCATAGTCGCATCCCATACCAGTATAATTGTCAAATCCCCTTCAAATCATACTTCGTCTTCCTCAGGGGTATCATAGTAGTAACGAACGTCTAGAATGCAAAAAATAGAGCCGAAACCTAAAGAGGAGTATGTTGGGTATATCACCAAGGACCACCCACCTCCTGATGCGCCGTAATCCAAAAATTTGACCCGAAACAGGTCGTTTTTCATGCTATGCAATGCATGGTGATACATCTCCCTTGACTTGTCGATTCCCAAACGTCCGAGAGTTGTGAAGAGTTCATACTACTCAGGCCCGGGATATTAAATTCCACGACCTGAGAGATCGACTTGACTCCTTACGGACAGCCCAGCCCTTCAGAGCAAGGAGAACCACAACCCACGCCATAAGGAGACCGACGAATCCCGTGGTGACTGTGTAGAAGAACATGGCATCCAAGTCGTAATGAATCATTCCGCTGACTGTATCGCTGGCCTGTTGCGGTTGATTAGTCACGAAATTTTACGGATATCGGGGTGATCCAAGAACAGCTTACGCTCGCCATGAAGATAGTACCTCCTGCGATAAGCCCGAAGGCAGTCAAGAGTTCCGTCGGAGGCCGAGATGGAAGGATGGAACGCGGTGGCTTAAGGTAAACAAGCACGTAAGTGAAACCTCGAGCAAACGAGGCACCAGTGAGAAGGTTACCCCACTGCTTATGAACCATGCTCGAGACCATAGACTGTTGCGTGTGGGAACTCATCATGATGCCGAGAAGCATTATTACAAGCGCCGGTATAGGGTTGACAGAAAACTCATACTGCTTCGGTGCATCTAAAGCCTCGCGTTCTTCGTCGCTATACGCGTGGCTCGGATGCGCGAGAGCTGCTTCGTACACGGTAGTGTTTAAAAGCTCGCGAATCCGAGTTGATTCGATCAGCATCGCCAGCTGTATCACCTTGGTCAGCCTCGGGTCCCGTTCACGGAGCTTATACGGTGAAAAGCTTACTAGTCCGCCTCCGATGAAGAGAACGGTGATGGAGATGTGTTCGAGATCCTGGGCGCTAAATTCATTGCCAGCATTGCCAAGATGCTCGAGGAAAATGTTGGTTGATCCATAAGTAAAAATGAGAGCACCTTCGGCGAATTCTGCAGTAGGCCTCCATTTCTGAGAGCTCTGCTTCGGGCGGACATTCCACGCCTAGAGTTGCGAGTCGTCAGAAATATGTCATAGTGGGACCCAGAAGCAACTCACCCAACCCAGCTCCCCAAAACTTCCGGACCATCTTCCGAGTGTCAGGATGCCGTACCAGAAGAAGATGCCACCCTTGATCCAATGAGCAAGACCACTGAAAATACCATGTCCCTCCTGGAAATCGCCAGTTAGTTCAGGATGCCGCCACTCTGAGATCTGAACGGGATTTAAACCTACAAAGAATCGCGCAAATGTGATGATACCGGTACACAGTGCGATATACCCTAGGATGAGAATGGTTCGATCGATAAAGTTATAGGCATACAAAATGACCTTCCACGATCGTCTGGAGATCTTGCCGGAAAGTCGGGAAATCAACGAGCTGGCAGATTTTGAAGGGAGCATCTCGGCGGGTTTAAAGTGAACGTCGACGTCCTCGTCCTCGTCCTCGTTCTCGTATTGCACTTGCCGATCGCTCAGTTCGATGGGCGGTTCCTGGCCGACAGCTGTTGAGACAGAGTTGCTTCGCAGAGACGCCGTATTCGGTTCGGTGCCTTGCCCGCTGTCGTTGGAATGACGATACGGCTGCGAGTATAGCGCATCGTTCATGCGCTGGTGCTCAGCCATAGCCTCTGTCGAGACTGGGATGAAAGCCTGCCTCTCCTCTTTGCCGAATTCTTGGGACGACTTCCTGCCCATCACACCAGCTACGTGACCCACGACACTGATTACCACCTGCGCGCTAATGACCCAAGTAACTAGCCAACCCAGCTTGTGATGTGCATTGTTGGGATACAAGTCGGGGGTGTTCGCATTATAAGTAATGCCCAAAAGGATACCAATCGCATTCGTGCAGAGGAAGAGAAACTGGATCGCAAGCGTGTATCGTGATCGCGCAATCGAGAACAGGACAGCTGAGAGGACAAGTCAGAGTCACCAGGGGACTACTTCAGTGGCATGAAAGCAAACTTCATACCTATTGGAAGCATTATTACCCAGCCGACGACCATTAGTGCGATATGCGCATATATTTCGACTACGTGCTCTGGGTGCGAAAAGTACGTCGGTGGGTACGACTCCGGATCAGGCTTCGGGTCCTCTTGGCCCATATCCATATCCATTGCGCCTTCATCTTCGGAACCGTGAGCGAGAACTGCAGGAAGTGCTCCGGCCACGGCGACAAGCGCCAGCAGCTTGAGCGCAGCCTGGACTGCCAACCCCATGTCGCGGTACGGCGATGTGCAATACCTATGCTGCTTTGTATAGGTACTCGTGCGAGTCAACTGGTATAGGTATTTTATACGCCCCTCTCTGTTCTTTGTCCTTGAGAATGATGACCCGTGACGATTTAGACAGAACCAAGAACGACTCGTCAGACGTTGTAGTTGTCTATAAACCCCACGGAGGTGTTGGCCAAGCTCGGTAGTCTCACGATAGCTTCAAGTATTGTTAACACAGGTAAAGGCAGTATCTATACGTCTTGCCTAGAAAACGACACAAGATCATGAAAGACAGACGAGGCGAGGCGGTGGCAAGGAGGCACTGCTGTCTCAGGTATGGGATATGTATGAGAAAGGCAAGCTGGCAGGCAGGCAGGTAGGTAGGTAGGTTCCTAGGAAGCTAACGCAAACGGCCGGATGGAGGGGTGAAGGCTCTCATATTAATAAAACGTCTCGGAGGGTAGAAGGCGCATGGTCCCGGAATATTTATTTATCTTGTTGTAAACCGGGGCGGTACCGCTGTCAGCCAGCGAGCCGACCTTGCGCCCATAAGGTATGGATATGTACACTTAGGTAAGGCCAAGATAGAGGTATTCCGCCGCGCATCCCACTGTATTGTATAGTCACATGGTACCTACGTTCAAGTAATAAAAGTAATAAGGCTGTAAGCAATCGAGAGAACAAAAAGGCCGGGCCCACCCGTACGCATTCACACTTCTCCGTCCGCTCGCGCCATCTGTTTCTGAGGAACCATCAGTCGATACTACTGTAGATAGTGTGGGAAAATAGCCACCATAGTACGATGGACTATCCGAGGTATCCGAGTAAATCCATGCTAAAAACGGCGGTATGGCGGTATGGACGGATGCGTTGAAGCTCTGTCAAGGGCTTCTCGGGCGGTCCTTCAAGGGCTGGCTTGTCAAGAAACTCGCAGAACATTACGGTGGATACCTCAAGGTGGCAGGAATGGGCCCTTTCTAAGCTAGTACGTGTATGTACGTATGTACATACATACATCAGTACAGAAGAATACCCATGTTGGCTCTTGTGCCTATGTATGTACATATGCAAAATTTCAATAGGAAGGATGGCCACATCAGTCATAAGAAGGTCCACTTGCCGCTAGGTGCCTAAGCGAAACGCCGATACCTCTAGTATCAGTACCTCTAGTTATACAGGTAAAATCTCATATTCGTACAGGTAATCCACTTTCACGTGCTGATAAGACCCACACCCCGCTGCACATAATTTGTGCGCAACTTCATTTTGCGCATTATTCTACTACGTACTTTAATTATAAGTCATACTAATCCGTACTGCCACCTAGAATGTAATTACTTCCCCCAATGTCTTCCCAGCAACGCATTTAATCACGTCGCAACTTATATAATTTTGTAGTGCTCAATTGAGGCAGCATATTGATATAGGTTTCAAATATGTGCAGCTTATATTCGAGGCATGCGACAAGCTTGAATGTAGGTTGGCATAACGGAGGCTCCAAGCATCACGTGACTGTTATACTTCAACAAATACCTACTGTCACTTCGCATACAACTTTCAATTGAGCACTTTTACTTTGGATGAGAAAGTATATACTTAAATGTAGCTTTAAAGAATGCGAATTGATTCATGTATAATATATAAGCTCAAATAGCAAATTCATGATTTGCGACGCTTTTGTAAGATACCTACGTACAGACTTCCTGGTTTATGTTGAGGGTTATCACGTGATCACGTGACAAGTCTTTTGCGCTGCACTTTTTACTGCATAGGTACAAATCAATGCCAATTAATGCTTCAAGAAAGCTGTCAGCTAGGATAACTTTAATATAGTTGTGTAGCATTTTAAAAGACGAATTGATTGAAGTTGTATTTATATATAAAAATGAGATTTTGAAGTGATGCGACGAGCT